GTGTGCCCTCCCAGCTGCGTGTGCACCCCCAGCCCACTGGCTGGTGGGGTGGTGTGAGAAGCAGAAAAGGCCTTGGCTCGGTGTGAGCACTGCTCAGCAGTAACTAAAACATTCCTGTGCTATCAACACATTTTTTCAGCAGAAATCCAAAGCATAGCCTCATACTAGTTACTATGAAGAAAATTAACTCTATCCCTGCCAAAACCAACAGAAAGCTATATGCAGAAAAGAACGAAGAGATAAATTTATCAAAATGGCTTTCAGCATAGTGGAGGAGTTGCAGATTTATTTTTTCTTTTGTGCAACAGATCCTGTATTGTGTTCCCTCCCTTGCTGAGAAAGCATTACTGTCACAGCTTCTTTAAAAAGATGAGTGTTTGGGGAACTTCCCATTTCCAAAAGCCTTTTTCCTTTGCATAGTTAGGATTTGTAGTGAAATGGCAATTCTTCTGGGCTGGGTGGAAAATTTCTCCATGATCCCTTGTCTGCTGTAGAACAGACAATCTTAATTATGGAATTTCCTCACTACTGAATTCTTGTAATAGAAATCTGCCTTTTGCCTTGCTTTTTTTAATCCAGACTAGAATGATCTGAATACTGCTGTGAATAGGAACCTTTAAACATGAATAGGGAGAAAAAAAGAAAAAACGTGTTATCTGTGAAAACAAACCACTTACAAAACTGTGAGTGGCTTGAGTAGAATGTCGGTGATACATTTGTATGGAATACAGGGAAAAATTTACTGTAATTCACAGGAATCTATTCCCACATATTTTAATATTTCCCTTGATTTCAAGTCTATACCACCTCTGTCTCAGGGTCTGTACAAGAGCTTGCTTCAAATGCTGTGTTTTTATAGGGTTGTTATTTTTATGTGTATGGTCGGTTGACCCTGGCTGGACTCCAGGTGCCCACCAAAGCCTCTCTATCACTCCCCCTCCTCAAGTGGACAGGCGAGAGAAAATATAACAAAAGGCTCATGGTTGAGATAAGGACAGAGAGAATCACTCACCAGTTACTGTCACAGGCAAAATAGACTCTACTTGGGGAAATTAACTTATTACAAGTCAGATCAGAGTACAGTGATGACAAACCAAAATAATAAAAACACTTTTCCCCCACCCCTCCCTTCTTTCTGGGCTTAACTTTACTTCCAATTTTATCAGCAAACCTACTCCAGTGTGGGCTCCTCTCTCCATGGGTCCACAGGTCCTGCCAGGAGCCTGCTCCAGCGTGGGGTCCTCCACAGGCTGCAGGTGGGTCTCTGCTCCACTGTCACCCTCCACGGCTGCAGGGACATAGCTGTCTCACCATGGTCTTCACCATGGGCTGCAGGGGAAACTCTGCTCTGGTGCCTGGAGCAGCTCTTCACCCTTCCTCTTCACTGACCTTGGTGTCTGAAGAATTTCCTCTCATATCCTCAGTCCTCACTCCAGCTGCGGTTGCACAGGTGTTTTTCCCCCTTCTTACATATGTTATCCCAGAAGCACTACCACCATTGCTGACGGGCTCGGCCTTGGCCAGCGGTGGGTCCATCTTGGAGCCAGCTGGCATTGGCTCTGTTGGACACAGGGGAAGCTTCTAGCAGGTTCTCACAGAAGCCACCCCTGTAGCCCCCTCCACAACCAAAACCTTGCCACACAAACCCAATAGAATATGTGAAAAGATATGAGGTGGAAGCAAATATTACTAAAAAAATTTAACCAGTTTTGTTTTACGATATGAAATGGAGTGTGTTCCACTGTTAATTCTGATGTCTTGCTTATTAAGTTGGGGGATATTAGATAACTCTACCAATATTATAAGGAGGTCATAAAATATAAAATACTGATTTATTTTTTTTTATTCTTTCTGTGATGGAGGCCTTTGAGGCTTTTTTTGAATTACAGCTATAAGGAAGGCATTTTTAAGATCATGTACAAGTGTGAAAAACACAGGCTTTGGGGAGCTGTAAGGAAAAAGGTCTGCAAAAGATGCTTTCTTTTAATAGCAGCTGATTGCCAGGTAAAACACTGTGTAAAAGTTGGGAACTTGAAATAATCATTGCTTAGTACAAGGATAGCAGCTGTGACAAGGACTTGAGGACACTGAGTAAGGCAAAAAAAATTTGAGAAGTTGAAATATATGTGACAATTGAGATTAAATTTCCAGACCTCTTGCAACTAGTTTGTTTTTCCACTTAGTTTATGAAGTCTGTAATTCTAATTATTGCTTGAAGTACTTAAAACAGCAGCTCTCAAATTGTGATCTGAGGGCTTCTGGTGTTATATGAATGGCTGTCTACAAAACTCAATTAAACATTTAAAGACAGCCTTATTAGGTTTGTGGAATAAAAGCCAAGATGAGATATTTTTTCTGTATGTCCTGTGTATAATGTCAGCATTATCATGTTCATGACTCATGATGCCACAGGTGCTGTGCGATCTGTAACAATTTTGAGAATCAACAGTGGCACACTGATGTAAAAATTGTCAGCTAGTAATTGAGAGAAAATAGTCATAGGTTAATTCCTGAGGTGCATCCAGCTACCAAAGAGGAAGACACATTTAAAAACTGTTTGAACATGTTATTGTCTGTTCCAAAAGGAAAAAAAGCAGTTTGTTTCAGCTTGTTTTTCTTCCTGTTAAATTAGGTTTTTCTGCTATTTAAATGACAAAAATACTGACATACGCTTGAAAATTTGGTTTCTGTCTCTTTTTAAAACTTAACCAGTGAAAACCTAAGGATTAGTCCCTAGCCCATTGTGATAAGAGAGAAAGTGCTTCTACCTAAAATCAAAACATAAAAATTGTACACAGCTGTTTAATTGTGAATGTTGAAATTTGAAGACTAACTCAGTCCCAGGGGCTTAGTGAATTATTTTTCTATGGTTCAAGAGCATTCAGATATCCAGTATGACACTGGTTTAGGTTGAAGAAATCACACCCAAATGTATTATACAGAGAGAGTTATGTGTTGCTTCAAAGGAAGGAGTGTTATGCATGAAGAATCAGTTTGATTTTTGTGATTTACATGCGTTTTGTCAAAGCATTTTAAACATATTTGCTTCTTCGTACAAAGATTAACTACTTTATTACATTTCAGTTGAATGGCTTGCTGTAAAACACTCATTTTGTTTCTATATAATCAGTGAAAACATTACTTTGGTTTACATTGCTTCATAAAATTGCTCTATTTACTATATAAAGATGTACATTGGTTTAGAAGAAGCAGTGTTTACATAAACTCCATAATAGTACAAGATTTACAGTTTTCCTTTCCTTGTGCATAGCTATCTCTTAGTCTTTATTTTCAAATATTCATGCTGAGCTGAAATGTTTTGCTATTCCAATTATAAATTAAACAAATGTATAATTCCAACATACTAATTTGTTTCAATTTTACATTGTGTTTTTAGTTAACTTAAATAATTTTCTTTTTCTTTTATTGTTGTGATCTGTTGTCTGTTTTGTCTGTTGCATGTCCAGGGTTCTAAGGTTAGTATTGCTGCTGTAAGTTTCAGTTTTTTGCATTTTCAAAAATACCTTATTTTTGATCATTTAATGTTTTGGCTATTATTATTATTATTATTATATAGTAGGATGTCAATAGGAATATATTTGGTATAATCATTATCTTTTCCTAACATGTTTCCCTTGAGTAACTTAGTGAAATCAAGTATGATGCTTACTCTTATCTACTGGACTGAATGTAGGCAGCTTCATGAGCTAAGTTAAGTTTTAAATGTCAATAGAAAAGCTCTTTAGGCCCTGAACGTGTTATTTGTGAGGGAGACTTGTGTACTACTCTTAAAGTATGCTGAGTAATCATTAGATGGTGATCAGTTCACTTTGTAAAGAGTTTTTGAGCTAAACCTATCTAAAATATTGCTAATACCTGGAGGCAGCTTGATCAGCAATAGAACTTATTTTAAAAGTTATTAGAAGAGCAATGTGCTGTATATAACAGCTAGAATAGATGGTAAGTTTTCCTGCAAAAAAACTGGCAGTCATCTTTTTTTTTTTTTTCTTATATCCATCAGAATTTTAGGTAGATTTGTAAAGAAAGATATTTTTTCCAATTTAAAATTTGCAAAAATCTTGGTAAAATACAGTGAAGTGTTAAATAAAAGGAATTCATTACATAACTTGCAAAACAAAATAAAGCAGTAGATATTCTGAGGAGGTTTAGAACTATGATTGATGCAATACAGTTGAAGCTTGAGAAAAATCAACAGCAGGCAGTCAATTGGCTGCTAGCAAGCCTGATGTTATTTCAAGCATGAGTTCAAACTTCACATTTCTATAACCACCTATGAGTTTTTCTAGCAGACTGTTATGGCTATAGATTTTTGAAAATATATTTTCTTTGGATGAGTGCTTTCAAAAATGATTTTCCAGTCTGTTATAAAAACACATCAACTTTTTTTTCCCAAAAAGTAGGAACACAGGACGCACTAGCCAGGGGAGACCTGGCTAAAGAAGATAGGCTGGAAATCGTTCTTCTGAGAGTTGTCATTTTAACATTATTCTGATATTATTGCACAGATCAGACAGATGACAGCCCTTTCCAAATAACTCATGTAACCGACATGTTACATCCTTAAGAGAAATTAAATGAAGTGGTATCTATCATTGTGATGACACATGCCACAATACATCTTTCATCTTTCAAAATAGTTGTTTCCTTAATACTGTTTGGCACAGTTTGCACTTCTATACTTTTGGATGTAAAATATTTTAAAAAGTGATTCATGAGTGAGGATACTAATCTTTTAGAAGTATGGAAATAAAGGCTTTTTTATTTTTCTGTATTTCTTTTTCTTTGGAAGGAAAATGGCCTTGACAGCACAAAATATATTTTGAGGTTTATTCATTTGTTTAGAAGTACCTATAAAAAAAATAAACAAACACAATGAAAGTAATACTTTTCAAAGGGACCAAACTCTGTGTTCAGAAAAGCCCTGCAATCTGAAATCTTGTTAACAATTGATAAGAATCAGCCATCTGTAAACATTTTTTAAAATAGTATTTATGTATATAAATGTGGACACGGTGAAGTATTGAATCCTGTTTTCAATTTTGCCTAGCTCCAGAGGTAAAATTGTTTAAGCAGATATTTATTTTTCTAATTAAACTTACTGTTTCCTCACTTATCTGCACTGTTAGACATCTGAATGCATTTGAAAACATGACTCTGGTCATCTAAGTATCTTTTTGGAGAAAAACATGACCCCCCTTTTAAATTTCAGAAATATTGACCCCATTCAACATTTTTCTGTGGATTCCCATTAAGGAGAGTCCAACACTACGTTAGGAAAGAAATGGCCATTCTCTGGGAAATGTGAGCTGCATGCCATATAACTTGTCACAGTTTTACTTCCCCCCATTGCTATCGTGAGGGAGTTAACATGCTCTCTTCTGATCTCCAGGAGAACAAGACTCTCTCAGGTTCCTATATGGTATAAGAATTCCCAGGAAGAATTAATTCATGGAAACAGGGCAAAATTGGTTTTTCCCACTCCACTCCTCACATTTACTTGTTTATGTAGAGCAACGTAAAAGCTACACAGACAGTAACTGCTTTCATCTGTTACCTGTCAGTTTGCTTAGCCTGTGGAAGAATGTAAGAGTGCATTGCACCATTATATACTGTGCATTATTTTACTATCTAGCCACACTTTGTTTCTATAATTGATAATGACTTTCTCATTTATATTAGTTTTTTTTCTCATCTATTGTAGCATGTAAATATAAATAATTTTCTCACTCTTCATGCTGTCTTACTTTGAATTCACTCATAGTTTATGTTAATGGTAATAATAGGAGTTTTTAAAATAACTTTTGAATGTATTTATCCTTAAGCGTAACAATTTAGATTTGTATGCAGATGTGCTGTCTTTATACTTCAGTTGTGTTCAAACTTTAATTCAATTATCTCCTTTTAAAGACTGAATTGGAAAATATTGAAGTGACACAAGGAATGTCAGCAGAGACAGCAGTAACTTTTCTGAGCCGTCTGATGGCAATGGTTGATGTACTAGTGTTTGCCAGTTCTCTAAATTTTAGTGAGATTGAAGCTGAAAAAAACATGTCTTCTGGAGGTCTAATGCGACAGTGCCTAAGGCTTGGTAAGTCAACAGACAGTATGTATTAAATAATTACTTACAGGTCAGTGAGCTACAGATGGATCAAATAGTGACACATACAGGAAAGGACTTGTACTGACTGTGATGTGATAAAATAAAAATCCCGTTTATTGTTGATTTGATACAGTTTTAAGGTTGATTCAGTTTAAGCACAAGAGTAAGTTAAAATGACATGTCTGAAATTGTTCTTTCTTGTATATTTCAAGTTGCATATATTTTGGGGTAGTAAAAATACTAAATAAAAGTAAGTAAATGGAGAAATTATTTTTTTCTTAAAACTGGTTTGCTACCTGCATGTTGCAGGTTTCCTTATCCAAGTCTCCATGAATTTGGAAGACTACTTACAAGCTGTGTAAGATTAAAAGTATGGAATGCATGTGCAGATTCTTTAGACCTAATATGTGTTGCAACGGTCTGGCACCTCTCTTCACTATTTACTTTTTGCTATATACTGTTACAATTAATTTACAAAATTTGAAAATTTATAACAATTCAAGCTATTCTATGCAAACTATATAACTTTATCCTTGTGAACATTAAATTTTGAATGTCATCTGACATGATGCTGTTTTGCTGATGTTATGTCCCACATACTTTTTCATCTCTCATATGCTGAATAATTTCTCTAGTCAGTTTTTGCCCTGTTATTAGTCATACCACTTATCAGGTCATTGTCAATTATATTGCTCCTGGTATAAAATTGTCATTTTTTCTCAATGATCAATTTTAATCAAATTATAAATTATTGCTTACTATTTTTCTTTGTTCTAGATGTACTTAAATACTTTCAAATTTTAAGTGTTGTTAACCAATCAGTAACATATGAGAGCTGCAATTCAAGGACTAATAATTTTCAAATTTTTATATAGTGATGTACCAGTTATATAAAACATTTAGTTGTTCAACTAAAGAATAAAATGAATAAGTCACCATAATGCTTTCTTAGTGCTGACAGAGAGTCTATGTGAGAATTATATTGCACTTACTATTTGGACACGGTTACTGACATATCAGACTGGATGTACAGACTCCTAATTGATGTTCTGAATATAAAAATTATAAAATATTCTAATTTGTAGCATTCTCATAACTTCTTTTCAGTTTGTTGTGTGGCTGTGAGAAACTGCTTAGAATGTCGGCACAGGCAGAGAGAGAGAGTGAACAAGACGTCATTAATCAGCAGTAAAACTCAAGATGCTCTTCAGGGTGTAACTGCATCAGCAGCAACCAAGGTAACCCAGTCTTCAGTTACCAACAGCAATGACAAGTCTGTACCACTGCTTTATAGGATCAGAAGATGATTGTAAATGCCTTCTCGAATATTTGGCAAAAGCTATTTTTTTTGCTATTAACCGGTTTAAAGTAAAAGTAGGGGGCAGGCAGGGGGGCCTTATTTGAAACAAGAAAATGTTAATGCAGTAGTATGACTGGAGCAATTTTAAACAGCTTTTTCACTCTTGTTTGGTCTACTTCAAAGAGCAAGTCCTCTTCATACTCGCATCTGTCATATACCTGCATAGCTTTTTAAATCTGTCAGGACACTTGCAGTTTTGATGAAATCCTGCAATCATATCTTTGTTGGTGGAATATCATAGTCCTGGTAACTTCAACAGACCTTCGCATGCGTATTAGACATCAGTATTTTCTGTCTGATTTTAGGAATTAAACTTGTTTGATATTCAATTACAACTTAGTTTTACCAGTTTCAATAATTCATTGTTCATCTTTTTGTTTTAATCTTGTTTACAGCTTTAAGACTTTGAAAGTCCCGAAACTAAAATCTCAAAGAATTTAGCACAGCCCATGACTAAAATACAACACTTTGTGTGATGTAAAGGATTCCTTTTTTTGCTACTATAATTTCATTACTAAATTTGGTGGTTTTTCTTCTCTAAAGACTTTTTCAGATAGCATTTACAAACTCAGCTCCTTTCACAATATTATTTAATTAAATCTCACAAAAACATTAAATTTCTCCATGTTATCACATTCAGTGCAAAACAAATCAGGATAAGAAGACTTTCAGGTGCTTGGGCATAATTTGTAATACATTATCATTTTTTTAAGGAAGCATACTACTCTATGCTTTTGTTTTAATAGCAGTTATTCTGTAAGTATTCTGTAATAATTCTGAGTAAAATTAACATAAAATTTTTAAAAAAATATTTCTGCTCATCATTTTTAAATTTAACTCATGTATTAGAAATAATTTATTGTACTGCTATGAAACAACTGTAATCTGAAATAACCTTTTGTGTGAAAATTATCTTAACTCTGGGAAAAGATACAGTTGTTCTGAGGTACTGAGAAGATGTAACAGTTTATATCTAAATATCAAGTATTAAGACAATAATTTAAAATATTGCTTTATTTCTAGAACACTTGTCTGAGTCTAATGTTGGAAGTGTATTGGAAGTAAAAAGGCATCTAGTAGTGATGCAATATCTGAAAAAGGTATCAAATTAAGGTTCTAACAGAGATGCTTTGATATTTGGGGAGGGGGAAAAATCTCACTACTTTGTATTTTTAGACTCCCCTTGAAAATGTCCCTGGCAATCTTTCTCCAATAAAAGACCCTGATCGGCTTCTTCAGGATGTTGATATTAATCGTCTACGAGCAGTTGTTTTTCGTGATGTGGTGAGTAATACGTGCTGTAATTCTTTCTTCTGCAAAATCATCACTTATATTTTGAAAGAGATTTTGATTTTACCAGAATTAAAAATATCCTTCATGTGTTGCAGTCTGTATATTATCTGCAAACCATCTGCTTCTGGCTTTGTAACTACCAGATACTTTCAACACTTTAAAATAATACTAATAAGCTATTTGAGATTAGTAGGTAACTGTGTTTGACAGTCAGACTTGATCTTATATTAGCCAAATAATCACAGCCAGAATAAATCAGTTATGGCCTATGTTGATAAAAACTGTATTATTAAAGGTGTCAGCTATTTGGCCAACCGGGGTAGGAGGAAGAATTGTTGTATGTATTACAGAACTGCAGCAAATTGATTTATAAAGACAATTTGTACTTCTGCTAAACATATATGTGCATATGTTATGTATAAATAGATACAAAAATGTTTTTTCAGATTTGTCTGCAACTTTTTTCAGCATAAAACTGTACCACAACATGTTTATTTTTGAAAGTAGTACAATAGGAATTATTATTGTTATACACAAATAAATATGTTCAAACTTCTCCAACCTAAGTTTGAGTGGATGGAAGTGAATATTGAAGTTAGAAATAGATTTTAAAAGAATAAAGTAGAATTTGACATAAAAAAAAAGTATCTATCAGGATGACATGATCATCTTGAATGGGCAAGGTTGAATTTGGGTGGTGATCTTCTGTCAGCTGCTCTTTTTTTAACTAGAGGAGAAGAGAATAGGGGAAATATTGTTTCTGACCTTTCTATGAAATAACTTAATAAGAGGATTTCTAGTTATTTTAAGGATTGCAAAGACATGGAGACAAATTAAATAACACCCAGAAAACATGGAAAGCAAACACTGGATGTGTAATAGAAAATGCATACTTGTGGTATTGAGACAGGGTGAAACCACTGTAGGAGCAGATAGAGGCTGAGGTCTTAATTCTACCGTGTTGGGTTTTACACCATAATAATAATAAAAAACATTTCAGTTGAACTACAGCAGCTTAAGCCCAATCAGGGTGATATCTAAGCCATAGATGGTAGTTGCCATAGCACAGCAAACTACGTGGGGTGGGAGGAAAAGGAAGACAGCAAAGTGTTGTGGACCTGGCTTTTACTTAAATCACCCTGGAAAACTCGGATTGCTGCTGAGAATCCTGTTGAAGAAGTCAGAATGTACAAGCTGGGATTCATTGCTGGAAGAAAAACAGTGGTCGTATCCCTCCTGCTTTTACATGCTGCCAGAAGCTGTTATGCCTACTTATGCATCTGGTGTTAGCTAGAAAAGCATCAGCGAGCTTAGTTTTCACTGTCAGCAGTAATACCCCTTACCTTCTTCTAGGAGGAGCTTTCTGAGTCACCCCTGGGGCAGTGAAAGTCAGTTGCCCTTACTGTTGAGAAGCCTTGAAGGCACTCTGAGGGTCAGGCCTCTAGCCTGAAAAGCCTGTTGATTCCACAGTCCCAGAGACTTGTGTAGTTGCCAAATTACCTGTAAAATTCAGTACTTAATACATTGTATGTGTAGTACTCCACTGAAAATCCGTTAAATCTTCTACGTAATCCATTTGCTACTATGTTAACAGATGTAACATTTCAGAAAGGTAATATTTATAAAGCCTTGTGTGAAAATTCTATGGAAGTGTCTGTCCGATATTATAGATCTGTTCCTTTTCCTCCAACACAGGATGACAGCAAACAGGCTCAGTTCTTAGCTTTGGCGGTAGTCTACTTTATTTCTGTTCTGATGGTCTCCAAATACCGTGATATTCTAGAACCACAACGAGAAACTGCAAGGTCTGGGAGCCAGGCAGGTAGAAATATCAGACAAGAAATAAATTCACCAACAAGTACAGGTACATTTGTTTTCTTCAGATGTTATTTTTCATTTTGATATGAAGATTTTTTTTAGAACTGTAATTATTTTACTACAAAGTATTTTTAGTGAATAGCTTAAAATACTAACAGGAAATTATTTGTTACTTTCTTCCTCTGTAATCATTTGGTTCTTTAACATATGTTGGCAGATTTTAGTTATTCTGTGTATTTGCTTATAAGGTATAACTAATTTTTATTTGCATATTCCTTTTTTTTAATGCCTTTTTTTCTTTAATTTGAAAATAATGATAAAGAAACTAGGTACCTGATGGAATTAAAGCTGTAAAGTACAAGATAGTTGATCAGCACAACTTCCTGAATCTGTTATTTGTTAGGACAAACAGATAACTCTAACCCTATACCATGAAATGGGTAAACAGCAAACACAGCTGTTTTCCCATGCGAACTCCTTTTGTTTGAATGAGGAGGTTTGTGCCAGGGTGGTGGTGGAGAACTAAGTACTTTCTTGGAGTCCTGCTGTGTTGGTGCCTGCATTTAAAAGCCTATGGAAACAGTATAATAAAAAGGAAGCATTTCTTCTTTGGCTGAACTGTTTGATTTTTATTAGTAGTAGTGGTGTTTACTAGCATGTGTTCTTCATCTTGAGAGGGAGGGAGTCTGTTAGCTGTCAGAACCTATCTGAAATCAGAGATCCAAACTTTACCTCACTTTATTTCAAATATTCTACAGTCAGTTCAGTAGGTTTTTTCAAGTCTGATTGGATTGATTATCACTGTACCTTGTGCGTTAAAAGAGATGAAAACAGTAACTGAATTTGTCCATGAAGCTTTTTATGTATGTTTTTCTTCTTGTATTGCTTTTTAATTACTTTCTTCGTTTATGGAGTTGCTAATTTTCATTCTTCACAGAATTTATCTTCCAATTTGTGTCATATTAACATTTAGTCATTATTTTCTTATTCATCATGTTTTAATTTACTGTTTACACATACTTTTTTAAAGTCCATGTTCTTGTAGGCTTTCCATTTTAAATATACTGCATGAACATAATCAATTATGAAAAGTCATAATTTTTTTGTGCTTTGCTGGTTATATGTTATGGTTCTTCACTGAGAAACTGCTAGTTTCAGTGAACTATTTCACTCATGATTTTCTTGCCTATGTGCGTATCTCTCTTTCTCTCTCTCTCTCTCTGTCTCTTTTTCCCCGTGAATGTTGCTCTTGAAGTGCCCAAATAGTAGGTATGATGTTTCCTATCTCTTGATACAGAACTTGTTTTCTTCCTTTAGAAATGCATTTTTTTTTGTTGATAATACCATATTTGCATCTTTCAATGAGATAGGATATCTGTCATGGATCCACAGTGGACCAGGCCACACATGAATACTAGCTGGCTCACATTTGATTCCATGATTTTCTCCACAGTTGTGGTCATACCATCTATCCCTCACCCAAGTTTGAACCATGGATTCCTTGCCAAGTTAATTCCTGAGCAGAGCTTTGCCCACTCATTTTACAAAGGTAATATTAACATCATCTCCTAACCTGTTTGGGTGTTCTTATTTAATGTAATGTAATTCAAGAACTAACTGTGATGTAATTGTTGATAAATAAGCATACGCCTCAGGTTACATGGAGATCAGACCTGATGAGACCTTTAAAACTCTAACTTCCTGCCTACATTTCTCTAGGAAATCTTTTTCCCACTTTTACTACCACTTATTAACTTTACTTGTTTTGAAATAAAATAATTTATAAAAGCATTCATGAGGAGGGAATGGATGTAGAAATTTTAAATGCTTTTGGTTTGTGGTTATTCTTCTACAATATTAGGTCCGTAAAAATTAGATCAGGCCTGTTTTAAAAATATTGCATACCACATAAAGTATGCAGTTCTTCTGTAGTATTCCCTTTCCCCGTATCTTTTCCTGTTCTTTTGCCTTCCTTTCTCGCTTTTTTTTCTTGCCTTCTTGATGGTATGTAAACCTCTGATACTGTATGTACCATGAATTATTTTATGCCTGTTAGTTAATGTGCTGTGCTGTGCTTTTCTTGAAGAAGATTGCTTTTGTGACGAGAGCAACTATTATGTGTTTTGGACCTGATTTGTTTTGTTTGTTTGTTTCTTTTAATAGATACTGTATAACGTAGGGAATATATTTTTCAGATGTCACTACTTGAAAAAGAGAGGGCTACCTGAGTGTAACTTTAGCCAGGTTTGCATGTACATTTCCCCACTGCGGTGCAAATAAAGAAATGTAAAATTGGTTAAAAAATTTAATCTCATGAAAATGTTCTTGGTATAATCTTGAAAAATCTCAGTGGGTAAAAACATTGATTTATAAAAAGCTGAAGAGGTTTAACATTTCATCCTGTTTATAAAGAACAGTAGTTAACTTCTGACTTTACTAATAATGCAATCTATGCTTATCATACACTGTTCTGGGAGCATTATGTTAAAATACTCACTACAACAATTTAAACTATCACTATGTTAATCTGGCATTTCTTAAACTTTGGTGTGTGCGTGTATGTATATTATAAATTGCTTTAAATTCTAACAATGAGTAGACAAGGGTTTGTGATTTTGATTAGTAGGACTATTGTCTGACATCCAAAGGAAGAAAAAATATTTTGGATCATTAAGTTTGCTGATGTAATATTCTTTGTTGTGACATAGTTGTATTTGTATTATTTAATCCATCATTAATAAAAAGGAATCATTTGCTCTTAGTTCAGAAGATTACTACAGTAGTTTGTGGTGCTACAGAATAAACTCCTAAAACTTCATTACTTCCTTTTTTTTTTTTTTTTTTTTTGCATTTAGAGCATGTGCCTGTGTGTCAGGCATAGGATATTTTATTTTTAACCACCTTTGCTTGAAAATTGTGATTGCTTAGACTGCCTCAATACACAGTTATTTAAAGATATTTTAATTTTATTAAAT